GTCCACATGAGTTCTGGAACTAGACAAAGCTCTCATCCTTTATTTAAGGGGGTACATCAAAGTCCACNCAAAGCTCTCATCCTTTATTTAAGGGGGTACATCAAAGTCCACATGAGTTCTGGAACTAGACAAAGCTCCCATCCTTTATTTAAGGGGGTACATCAAAGGCAGGATAAGGTTTCAAGGGTGGGGTCTTGCTTCATGAAGTGTTACAGTCAGCAGGTTGACATCTTGGCAGGTCACACCTATCTCAGGTGCTGCGTGGGCCATGGCAGAGCGGGATAGAGATTCACATTGTCCCTGGGAAATTGACCAGATAAAATGTCCACTGGTCATTCCCTGACACCCAGATGTCTCTAGCCACTAGGCTTCCATGTGCAGTGACCCACATGCAACCCATGRATGGCTCCTGATGGCAAAGAGGCATAGAAATTATTCTTTCTTTTTTAATATTGATTTAGTTTTAGGTGGACTCAATATCTTTTTTTAAATATTTATTTTTTAGTTTTCAGCAGACACAACATCTTTGTTGGTATGTGGTGCTGAGGGTCAAACCCGGGCTGCACGCATGCCAGGCAAGCGCGCTACCACTTGAGCCACACCCCAGCCCTGGACACAATATCTTTATTTTACATTTATGTGGTGCTGAGGATCGAATCCAGTGCCTTGTGCATGCTAGGCAAGCACTCAGCCACTGAGCCACAACCCCAGACCCTAGAAATGATTTTTAGTATCACTTATCATGAGAAAAGCACARAGTAAAACCTTGAGATGCACTGCACACATACTAAGCCGCTAAAGCCTTTCCTTAAGTGCAGAATCCACCGTGAAGATGATGAGCAGCCATGGGCATTCTCATACAGTGCTGGTGAAGTACACAATAGTTCATCACTATCAAAAAGATAACCATTTTTTCCCAAAATTAGACAAGGTGTCACCATATGATCTTAAGAACATAGAGAATTGCCTCAAAAACACACATCTAAATAACAGCAAGCAATTACATATAGTATTTCTATTCACAATGGCCCAGTMCCTTAAGGAACCTGGATATGCTTCAATGGTTGAACAAATAGCAGAATTGCCATGCATCCATGCCATGGAGGCCCTGGGGTCTCTGAGCTCCCTTACGTCTCCACACCTGGACCATGTTGTCTGACTTTACCTTTGCACACCTTGCAGAAGGAAAAGTGGGTTCTATATGAAAACACCTGTAAGATGCAGGCTCGGGATGCCTCCTGGACCAGATGGCCATTTAAGGGAGTGAGTGTAGAACAGGCTGGGGGCTATACCCCTCTTCTCAGAGTGGCCCGAGACAAGGTCAGAAGGGTAAAGGGGAAGGGGGGCTGGCTGTCAGTAAACTGAGGGTGGAGGCCTCTCTCCACAGGGGTTGAGCACAGGTGCTAAGGAAGGGCCTCCTGCCTYTATCCAAAAGGGCCTCTGGCCACTGCACAGATGCCCTTTCCCAGGTGGTCCAATCCCAGTCAAGGGTCAGCTCAAGGGAGTTTAGTCCATTTCCCCCAAAATGGACATGATACAGCTAGATGAGTTTCAGGACTGAGCAGTTTCAGGACTGAGCCCACTGCCTGTCCAGCAAAATGACCTGGAGGTCCTCACCCAGTCTCTGTCTCTGACTGACCACCTCCTCACAGACTGCACCCTACTGAATTCTAGACCCGACTGTCTACAGGTAAGGCCACAGGCTGAGGGCTCTGCATGTTTCCTGGGAGGGCTGACAGTTGCCACACCCTGTAGCAGGCCAAAGCACAGTAGTCACTCCCTCTGCCCTGACTCTGGGGGAGCGTTCCTAGTGGGGGACACAGGGGCCCAGTCCTGGTGTTTGCTGGAAGTCTGTAGTGTTCCTAGTCTTGCAATAKTTGGTATTCCTCCAACTCCACACATCCTGCTGAGTTCAGGGAACCTGGGAGGCCAGGACCAATGCCCAGTTTTGAGCTACAAATTCTATTTTTGGAAAAGTCTCAAAAACAGGGCTTCCTGTTGAGAGAGAAGAAAGAGCTTCTGCATGATACGCTGGAGATATCCTGAAGGGCCATCCACATTCTCAGCTCAGGACCCCACAGGAACTAACCCCTTGTAAGGCATAAGCCTGGAAAATCTATTCCTGACTCTGGAGAGAAATCCAGGGTTTGAGGCAGAGCTGAGTCAGGAAGGGGACACCCTGGTTTCCTAGGAAGTGACTGCTCCCTCCCCTCTGCTGCCAGGCTCYTCCCTTGGCCTCTCCTGGGTCCTCTCCTAGTTTCCTCCAAACTCTGCAGCCTCAGAGGTAAAAGCAAGACAGGGATGTGTGTGTGTGTGCGTGTGTGTGTGTGTGTGTGTGTGTGTGTGTGTATGTACATGTGTGCTTCTTTGTGCACATATGTAGTATGCATGCATGCTCATGTGTCATGGGCATGTCATGGGCATGTGGAGGGATGGTTTTGAGGGCGTATGTATGTGTGTGTCTGCACATGTGTGCACACACATTTATGCATGCATGAGGGATGCCATTCAGGAAAGAAATGCACTGCCTTCCTCCAGGGGAATACAAGATCCTTATCCTCCCTCTGCAGAAAAGACAAAAATGGAAAAACACTTTCTTCTTTTGAAAAGTTCGTGAAAAGAAATAAAGCAGTGACATATTTTTTATTACAATCCACACACTTGGTCAAAACGCAGCCCAGCTCAGGGTCTTCCTCCCCTGTCACTGTATGCTCTGTCCTGAGTTGTTGGAAGGGCTGGAATTAGGGCTCCCCCTGCCCAGCAGAAACAGGATTAAAATGAGCTGATGTTTCCCTCAGAAGAAGGAGTTGAGCAGCAGGAGGACTGGAGAAGAGGGCATTGCCCAGCCACTTGGAGCATGGAGAGCCCAGCCTCTGGTCTGGGTCTGACATTTTTCAAGAGGTTAGAACAGAGATCTCAGTCTGAAGTGTCCCAGGGCACAGTGATGGAGGCTGAGACTCAGAAGCCAGCAAGCTGTTCAACATCAACTTGGCTGTCACCGTGGAGACTGCTGTCCCCACCATCCTGACCTTACCTGAGCCCAGAGGCCCTGCAGTCTTCTAGCTCAACCCGCTTTCCAACCCCAGGCCCACTTTCCTTGATGCCCCCCGCCCATCAAAATCCATACTGCTCCACAATTTCTCTTCAGCTTCAAATTCAGAACAGTCTCAATGCTGGTGTGATTAGCAAGGTAGATCAAATGAAACAAAGGTTATCTTTAGTACAGGGGGAGCCAGTGTGTTTATTTCCCAGGGTTGCCATAATAAAGCACAGAAATGTGTATGACTTAAACCAAAAACTTACTATCTCACAGTTCTGGAGGCCAGAATTCTGAAATCAGGGTGTCAGCAGGATCATTCTTCCTCTGAAAGCTAGTGCAGAGGGTCCTTCCACACCTCTTTAGTTTCTGGTGTTTGCTGGAAGTCTGTAGTGTTCCTTGTCTTGCAATATTAGAGAAAAAACTATCCAATGATACTTATTAAAGCACAGGGAAAGACTTTATTCAGGATTATTGCAAGAAAAACAGAGATCCCAACCCCTATGCTTGACCATGCCAAACACTGTTGTTGCCCAGGGACCAGGTACAGCAGGGGTCACAGTTTACACAGAGCACATGGCATGTGACATAAGTGCCCAAAGACTTGGGTCACAGGCCAGAAACAGGAACCACCATAAAAGCCCCTGGGTAGTATAGTCTAGTGTTTTGCCTGCACAACCCTCATTCTGGGGGACCTTGGGGGTTGCAGGATACATTCACCTGGATAGCCCAGAGGGGATAATGACACTCTGTGAGGTGGCTGTGCAGGTCAGGTGAGCATATCTTCACAAYAGTGGAGGTGGAAAGTCATAGCCTTCCCTCCTACTCTACAGTCTCTCCTTAAAGGGCTGCAGAGCATTCTGGTGCATTAGAGGCTCATTGACTTAACTGGTCCCCAGTAGGTCAGTCTGGCTGCTTCTGGTCTCTGGCCCCACGGGCATTTGCCCCAACACTAATGAGCAACTCCTGGAGTCATCTTCTTAAATAAAAGCCCAGCCAAGCGTGTGTGTTCACACCTCAAGTGATGTTCCCTTACTACCTCAAGAGTGGTTTCCACTGAACACCCTGCCTTTGCTGAGGGGGCTTGTGGCTCTACCCTGAAGGAGTCTGATTCCAGACCTACAAATAATCCACACTTATTCAGCTCACTGTTGCGTAATTAGAACTGCAACTTGGCAAGGAGAAAAACGATCCCATGTGCCAGAGCAAGACAACTGGTAGCCAACATCCAGGTGTAGATTTTTTCAGATTTTAAATATAGAAAGCCTCTGCTTTAAGAGAGAGAGAGAGAGAGAGAGAGAGAGAGAGAGAGAGAGAGAGAGAGAGAATTTTTAATATTTATTTTTTAGTTTTCGGTGGACACAACATCTTTATTTTTATGTTCGAACCCAGCACCCCACGCATGCCAGGCAAGGGCGCTACCGCTTGAGCCACATCCCCAGCCCAAGCCTCTGCTTTTTATAAACCACATGATTCTCTACAGGCCACATATTGATACAATGATGGAGCCACACCTTGCACAGCATCTCTTGCTTGCCTCCTCTTCTACAGAGCGCGTCCTCCTGCCCTATCAACATGGAAAGGAGGGAGGACAGAGTGCAGCAAGGTGGGGGTCAGGACCTTCGCCCTTCCTATGACAGCCTCTCAAACTCCTAGGGAGTTGCTCCCATGTTATGAGGAAACTGAGGAAGGGACACTTGACCGTTGGGGTAGTCAGAACTGGAAACCYTCCTGGCCCTGATGAGGACCTTCTATCAAAATTTTGGGAATCCAGAGGCTACACTGGCCCAGCGGTGGCGCTGTGCACTCGCCCCAAGCGGTCTGGGATAGACGTGGTGCCTGGCCTCTGACCACACACCCCCGCCCCCCCACCCCGTTAACCAGCCACGCCCAGACCACGCCCCCGTGGGCCAGGCTTCGCCCCCAGCCCAGGGCCCACACCTACRCCTCACGTTTGTACTACTGACCGCAACCTCCACTGGGTATCCCTCCTGGTGGGCATTGCGGTGGAGGTGGAACAGAGACTCAGGGCTACCGACGGTGGGACAGGACGCGGGGGTGGAGGTGGGGGGCCCGGGTGGCCAGTGCCTCTGCCAGTGCCTCGCAGTACCGGGATGAGAGCTGCAGGTCAGGACCAGAGCTCCAGGGCAGCCCCGCGGCTGCTGACCTTACAGCGACATCTGAGCTGCCCCGAGGTAAGGGGCACAGGCCTGGACATCAGAGTTCCTGTCTCCTAGGGAGTCGTATGCTCCCGTGTTATAGATGAGGAGACAGGAAAGGATACTTGACCGTCGGGGTAGTCAGAACTGGAAACCCTCCTGGCCCTGATGAGGGCCTTCTAGCAAAATTTTRCCTGGGCTGTAAGCTCCTAGGGCACCCACGAACCAGAGTTGCAGGAGAGCTCTGGGTTCTGGGAAAACAAAGTCACAGACAGGTTGGAACTGAGGGGCTGGAGGGAAGAAAAGTGGGGCTCTTTAGTGGGTGACAATGGAAGACAGAGCAGCGTTGTTGGCAAACCTGGTACCTCCTCCTGCTACTCAGCAATTCTAGTGACCCTTGCACTGGGCCTGACTTCCAGGCATTTGGGCTGTTTACTCTCATCACAGAGATGTGGACAGACTGGGGCCTGTGTGCAGAGGCCCTCGGGAACTCACCCTGCCCCTCTTGTGATCCAGAGCAGTGGCCAGGAGCCTGAGGACAGCCCGTTGACCATACATGTGCTTGACACTGCCTCTGGGCTCCCCATCCCCGGCCTCTGCCTCCATTTGTCCCAGCTTGAAGACCTCAGYCAGCAGTGGACAGAGCTAAGAAAAAGGTAGGAGGTGGGCCCTGGGGATGGGAGGGAACCTAGAGCACCTGCTCCTCCAGCACCAGCACCAGCCCTTCCTGAGTCCCACCCTGGGACACATCCCAGACAGTCCAGGAGTGAGGGCACTGAGGCCTAGAGGACAGAGATGACTGCTGCTCAACTGCCCCCTCAGCCTGGGGGCCCACAGGTCCACAGCCTGGCCCCTCCCTACTGACTCTCTCAGCTTCACTTTCCTCACTAAACACAAGAGGACAGTGGAAGTAGACGTCTCGCCAGGTGTGAGCATCCTGGGACAATGCCATAGAAGGGGCTGAGCCTGCTGGGGGAGGGCAGTGTGTGTTTCCTTGCCACCATGCCCATGGCCTGAATTAATACCCGAGGTGGAGCTAAAAGGCCTTACTGTCCCCATGGTTAACAGCAGGCTGAACACCCAATTTCTGCTTTTATTCTCCGTAGACCCTCTGGGTAGGAAACAATAGTCACCATTTTACAGATGGGAAAACAGATAGGATGAAATAAAAGCTGGGCTTCCTCAGCCTGGTGTGCTCACAGAGCCCAGGCCTTGGGCCCCTGCTCCCTGCACAGGCTCTGCTGGAGAAAACCCTTGAGTTGGCTCTATGAGTGGGTTTCCCAGACCCTCCATCTTGAAGGAGGCAGGCTCCAAGCTTCAAGAGACTCTCTTTTAGCCTGGGAGTGGGTGGGCAGCGGGAGCAGGTTACAGAAAGGAGGATAGGCCTACAGGTTCAGGGTCAAGGATGGGGCTTGTTTTCTACCTGTTCAGCTTTTCACAAAAGTCAAGGGGTGCCATGCATAAGGATGCACATCTGTAATCCCAGCAATTGGGGAGGCTAACGCAGGAGATAGCTAGTTCGAGGCCAGTAACAGCAATTTAGTGAAACCCTGCCTCAAAATAAAAATTAAAAGACTGGATATAGCTCAGTGGTAAAGCACCCCTGGGTTCAATCCCAGTAATAAAAAAAGAAATGAAAAGTTTGGGGATGAGGGACAAGATCTCATCTGAGCATTATTTCAAGTCAGCATGGCACTGCGCAGACCTGGAGTCCCACCCACCACAATGTGCACGTGCTTCCTCTGCCCCTCTCACCAGTGAGACACACTTTACAGTCCAGCTGGTCACATGATGTAGGGTTTTGAAGAGGAGACTTAGCCAAACCGCAGGCCTTTAGAACTCTCCATGAGGGATCAGCCCACTCCATGTGGACACTTTGTGCTGTTGGAAATGGGCCACCATATAGATAGGCAGTTATTGACCCAGAAAGCCACACACAACACACTACGTGAAAATACAGCTTATGAAACATGAATAATTTGTTTTGTAAAAATGTTTGTAAATACAGGCTGGGGTTATGGCTCAGGGGTAGAGCTCTCACCTAGCTATGTGTGAGGCACTGGATTCAATCCTCAGCACCACATAAAGATAAATAAAGGTATTGTGTCCATGTACAACTAAAAATATTTTTAAATATGTTTGTAAATAAACATAGTTAAGCTTAGAAAAAAATCTAAGAAAAACATGCCAAATTTGAAGTGATTATTGCTCATAGGTTAAACTGGGAGATTTTTCCCTTTTTGCTTCTTTATTGATTTCTTAAAGAGGCAATGCAACAGTGTCTCTAGAAACTGCCCCACAATCTCTGTTCAGCCATGTCTGCATCAGCCTGTACAGTGTCTGAGGCCAGGGGGTCAGACCCAGGGGGGATGGGGAAGGGTGGCTCCACCTCTGACCTCAGCAGCCCATCCTCTCCCCAGCTACACAGACCCAGATGGCCACTGCCCTGGGCTCCTGAGGACAGGCCAAATGAAGCCAGGCACCTATAAGCTGACCTTTGACACAGAGGGCTACTGGAAGGAGATGGGGCAGGAGAGCTTCTACCCATATGTAGAGGTGAGTGCTATGGCAGGTGGAGAGGGTGGAAGCCCTGACTCACTGACCTGCAGGCCAGGCTTCATGGGCAGACTGGTCCCACTTCTCTCAGGGAGGTGGCAGGCACATGAGCTTTGAGTTCCCACAAGAAAGGGGTCCTGGGACCTGGGGCATCAAGAGACTCCGTGTCAACATGCCCATCCATGAGCATCCATGAGTCAGGCTTGGGAAAGGCAGACTGGGGGTGATTCATCCCCTCTTCATAGACAGTTTCCATCTACACCAACTCTAGCTCCTGGGCCTTCCCTTACTGCTCCCCCCACCCCCTTCACCTGGCTTTTTCCACATCCAGCATGCCCAGAGGAGGACTCAGCCCTCAGGAAGCTTCTAATCCACCACTGGGTTTCAGCTAACCCTTCCCCACCATCCAGGCCCCTTTCCCAGGGAGTATTGAGGGCAGGTGGCTCCTGTGCTGTGGTCCCTCACTGTCTTCTGGTGCCTTTCTGCTTCTCTCAGATTGTTTTCATCATCATCAATGAAACCCAGAAGCTCCACCTGCCTCTGCTGCTGAGCCCATGGTCCTATACCACCTACAGAGGGAGCTAGAGCTAGAGAGCAGCTATGACTCCGGTGGATAAAGCCAGTGCTGCATCTAGAGACCTACTCCTGATGGGCTGCTGTGATTCAGGACAATAAACTCTGGTTGCATCTGCAGTGCTTGTGTCCCAGCCAGAGTGTGGGTAGGTTACCTTGGATCCTCCCAGCCTTTCCTCAATCATAAATGAGTCCTGTGGAGTTGGCTTCTTGATAGCTCTCAGACCTCTGTTCCTCACCCGTCCCAGCCTGGCCTGCTGTCTGGCCCTGTGTTCCCCATCTGATCTTCATACCAAGACCCCTTCATGGTTTCCATCCAGCCCTACACACTGGGGTTTGGCAGACGCCTTTTGCAATCACCCTCAGCCCTGCATCCCGACAGCTGGGTTTTCCCCAGGCAGCTCAGGGGTTGCTCTCCTCAAAGCCTAGTACGCAGCCTTGGTCAGGATGGTGAGAGTGGGTGGGCAGGTGGTACAGCAAACCCAGCTGGAGTGCTGTAAACAGGAATGAAGAACCTTTACACACAGCTAATCCTTTGGTCCTGGAATTTTTGTGTTGGGCAGAAGGCATTAATGGTCAGCCAAACTGGGTGCTGATGAATCACCTTGGAAAAGCTACCTGTGGTACTTCTCAGAATGAAAACACCTCCACAGATGGTGAGGGACCCTCAAGCCCATGCTGCACATCTGCCTCTCTGCAGCAAGCCTGGCACCAACAACAGAGATGCCTGTGGGTGGAGGCTCAGAGCCTGGGAAATACATTTAGGATCCCAGCAGTGAAGCAAGATGTAAGGCAGAGTTGGGATTGCAGACATTCTTTAAGCCAGGCACAGTGACGCACACCTGTAATCCCAGCAGCTCGGGAGGCTAAGGCAGGAGGRTTGTGAGTTCACAGCCAGCCTCAGCAACTTAGCAAGGCCCTAAGTAACTCAGCAAGACCTTGTCTCAAAATATAATATAAAAAGGGGTGGGAGGACCTGGGGTTGTGGCTCAGCGGTAGAATGCTTGCCTAGCACGTGCAAGGCACTAGGCTCAATCCTCAGCACCACATAAAAAATAAAATAAAGGTATTGTACCCAACTATGACTAAAAAACAAACAAAAAGGGTTGGGGATGTGACTCAGTGGTTAGGCACCCCTGGGTTCAATCTCCAGTATCAGAAAATAATTATAACAAAATAAATATTCTTTATTCAGAGGCAGCAGCAGCCCCCAGCCTCCAGCACCACCCCCATTTTGCCCCGAGTCCTTCCATAGACCTTTTTTTTTTTTTTTAATGGAAGCTAGACAAAGAAGTCACATTGTCCACAGGTTACATAAGTGGGTGCAAGTTCACAGACAAACGTCTACAACCTTGAGTACATACACTGAATCAGGGTGCTCATGACCTTGGCTACATACTAAATACATAACCCAATGAAATCTCCACAAGGGAGCCTGACTATAGCCATCTTGGGTCTGCCCTACATGTCCTTGCCCTAGAAGCATCTACCCCTTGATGAGCTGGCCTCCCCTCAATGGGCCTGTCAAAGGCTCAGAACCAGCTGTTTCTAATTCAGGAGCAGCAGCCGTGTCTAGGAGATGACACTGTGTTTGTCTCCAAGGGCTCCAGTACAGCTGCACCTGGTAGGCTGCTGGATGCTAGCCACGGGCCTGGAAGCCACCAGTCAACCCAACTGGTGTCGTCAAAGACCCCTCACCCTGTGTCACCTGTTTCTTCTGTAGCTGCTCCAGACAGGTGAATGGAGCAGAAGGCCTGGCCAAGCACTAGAAGCTTGACAGGCAGGTGTCAGAGGAACCAGGAAGTTCTGTTGGAGGTTCCAGCTTCCTGATTCTTCAGCTGAGAACCTCCTGTCCTCAGCTGGCCCTTGGGGGTCAAGACCTCACCAATTTTGTTTTCTGCTATTCCCACCCATGCCCAGGACAGTCCTAGCAGAACAGTGCCACATGGAGGAGTGGATGTTTTGAGTTCTGCTCAGACCTCACTCCTCAAGAACTCAGGAAGGCAGTAAGGGACAGGTAAGTCCCTGGTACCCACAGTCTACATGTTTCCCATTGTTAACTGTATGCCTACCAAACCAAGCATCCTGGGGCCCCCCAGGCCTGTGTCTAAGTCCATCATCAAGTGACTGAGGGACTTGGGCCCACAGATTCCAAGAGCACCTTTTCTGCTCCCAGGACATCTTCGGGCTCTACTTGGTGACAGGAGCCTGGCATACCACAATGAGCCACTGGAGAACTGGAATTGCAAGGCTGAGAGGTTATGAGGTGCCATGAGGTTAAGGAGGGGTCAGCAAGACCCAAGAGCAACATAAGCAAAACCCCTGAAAGGGAACTGCTAGCACACGCAGGCCTGAGGCGCAGATACCTGCAGCACCTTTGCCCTGCTCTCAGGTTTCAGGAAACCCTCCCCCAGGGGTAACTGAGAGGTCACCTCTGTGCTTAGCTCAGGGGGCAGAACACAGGACCAAAGAGTCTCACCACAGGAGACAAGGCCATGCACTGTGGGTAGGAGGGGGGGCAGCCAGCAGCCCTGCCCCAGGAACCCCTGGGTCTACCTCAAGCTTGCGGGACATGAGCCTCAGTACTGCAGGATCTAGGTTGGAGGTCACCAGTCCCTTGGTGAACCACACCTCCCTCTTCTCCATGGCAGTATTCAGTGCCTGCAGTTGGCGCTCCAGCACCAGGTTCCAGAAGTCTGTCTTCTGCCTCACCTCTTAGATGGCCACTATGAACTTCCAGTAGAGCTCATCCTGCTTCTGCCACATCTGTGCAGACTAGGCTRTGAAGGGCCACAAGTTCCTCACCCAGGATGTCTCCCTGGGGAGAAGCCACTTCCCACCTCTGCCCCTGTGTGGGGCACACTGCCTCTATAATGGCACACATTTTCTACTAGTGCCCCAGTCCGTGGCATATGGGTAAGTGTGCTCTTCACACTGCCTGCACTCCACCCTCTGTGCACGGAATTAAAGGTGTATAGCTGTCTGCACAGTGGGAGACAGGAGAAACGTTAACATGAGTGCTCCTTCAGGAAACAATGAGGTGTCCTAGTAGGAGCTGAGCAGCCCCACCCTGAAAGCTGYTCTACAAAAGTGGAAAGGCCAGCCTTGCCTGAGTTAAGGCTGTGGGCTTGGGTGAGATGTACCCCTGATCTCCCCGAAGTGAGAGCCAGGGCATCATACTACCAGCAGGCAATGTTTGCAAGAGGGTCCTCGGAAACTCTACCTGCCTTCAAAATGCCCCACAGGGCAGGTGTAGAGCAAGCCTCACAACAACCAACTGCTGACCAGTAGGACTGTCCCTTCTCACCTTCTACCCTTCTTTTTCTTAATAAGAATTATAAAACATTGAGACTTCATAGTGAAAGTAAACACCTCTCTAACCTCAATTCCTGGAGGCCACCATGTAATCATTCAKTGACCCTTTTCAGAATGTTCCCCACAGAAGTAAAAATATTTATTCTTACTAGGAAGGAAACAGGATTGTGCTGTCGCACTGCAGCTTTCCACACAGAAGTGTTCCTTAGAGCACAACCTGGGCAGCACATGCATGATCCCATATCCCCAACTACTATACAGAGTCCCACAGACCTGCCCACAAATGCTGAGAGCCATAGCCAGTCGGAATGGCCCCTGGCATTTTGCCAGAAGTAATGGTTGAGAGGCCAGCCATTAAGATGATGATATTAAGTTAAGCTGTCTATAATTGCTGTGACTGAATGATGCTGGATTGAAACAGGCTGTGTATTCAATTGTATATTAGACCTTTACTGTCCACCTCGGGCACCCACTACTTTGGAGTTCCCGTTGAATTCTCGCGGGTTCCGAGAGAGTGCGCCGTAGCCCGGTGGTGTTCCGGGAGAGTGCCCCATGGGAGTTCCGGTTGGTGTGTGGTGTGTTCCTGGAGGAGCCGMGTGGGTGGCGTTCGGGAGAGTTCCCGGGGAGTGTGCTGGTGGAGTTCAGAAATAAAGTTTGTTCCTGCTTGAGTGGCTCGTGATTTGTGCCCAGCCAGACTGCGGCACACAACCAATCCCCTGCTGGCAGATTCAGCTGACAAATCTGAGTTCCATGCTTCATTCACCTTGAACCACTGCTGCAGCTACATACCTTTCAGTCTTTCTTTGGATCTTAAAATGTGATTTCATGTGCTGGAGAACAGAGAGTGGGGGATAGAAAGCATTCAGGATTTACATGCATGCATGTAAAAGCATTCAGGATTTATAGGCTTCTGGGAGACAGCAAGACCAGAAATAATGGCCAGAAGCAACTGGCTTGAAGACTCCAGGAGCTGGGCCCCACCCAGGCCATACAGTGGGATATGTGGAAGAACAAGGCCTCATCTCCCTCAGCACCCACCCACTGTTGAGCCTCAGAATAGTCAAAGGAAAGAGAGATCCAACATCCCCACCTCTCCCTTCCTGCCCTAAGGGCTGAGCCCTACTTACGAGAGATCCTCAGATATGCCTTCTTTCCTGAGCCCAGGAGAGCATGTGTCATGGAGAGAACAAATACATCAGGTCACTCATAATCATGATCTGCCTGTCCCTTTCATAGTTCCCAACCCTCCTCTGCCTTCCTCACTCATCTCCTGCACCTTCTGGAGAGGGTCTGCCATGTGCCTGTTCTGCATGGACACCTCTTCCATCTCCCAATCCAGAGCTCTTCCAATAATTGTTCCCCTGTTCTCAAGTCTGTTCCTCTCAGTACAAGTATAGGTGCAGGAGGGGCTAGTCCCTGACCACAAGCAGGTGCTGCCACCCACACCCATACTGAGGACCTGGGCTTGTTTTACACATATAAATAGTAGTTTGCATAAAATCCATTCCAAATTTGCCAGGAATACACAAACCTGGAGGTTGCATTTGTTCAGGTCTCCACCAGGGCCATTCTCCATCCAGGAACCCCTGCTACTGCCGGCATCTGAGGAACAATGACAACTGCCCACTGGCCACACTGGCACTTAAGCTTGTGGGACATAAGGCTGCAGGGTCCAGGCTGTCAGGTGTCAGCACCTGGTTGACCTGCACCTCCTTCTGCCACAGCAATGTCTTCCCACCCCAGCCATCCTGTGGCCCCAGAGCAATT